TACTTGCACACCTTAATGCAGCAGAATTTGCTAAAATATTTATAATACTTATAGACTTATTCAGTTTTGTATATGCATTGAATATAATCAATCAATGAGAACAATTTACAAGTAGCAAGCTCTTTTCTAATAAAACCAGTGAAATCAGATTAAAAGCGTTTAATCTGCTCAACAGCTATGCCCAGTGGTATAGTAACCCTAGTCATTCAATCCTGGGGACACACTTAAATGGTGCAATCCACAAATCAATTGTATTGGAATATTTAAGCACCACCTTTAGCTTGATTTTATGTCAAAGTAGATTAAATGGGACTTACTTCTAGGTAACTGTGCAAAGGATTGCAGACCTGCAGCATAATCCTACATATTATGTTCAGTTAGCAGGTATCTCACACTGCTTTCAGTGAGATACATTTCTCAGTAAGGATGGGAACCTGACTGCACTTATCTAAAAGTGCCACTGTGTTGAACAGGGCTTAATTCTGAGATGACATGGTTAGGACTGTGCTGTGTCTTTAGGATGGCAGTTTTGCAGTGCAATCCTATACTAATATCTACTCAGAAGTAAGTTCCCTTTTGTTCAACTGGAATTACTCACAGGGAAGTGTATGGGGACCATAGACTGCTATCCTAAACAGGTATTTATTTTCAAGCTTTTTTGCCTACACTTGTGAAATGTATAATAATAATAATAATAATAATAATAATAATAATAATAATAATGGTGTACATCAGGGTTTTTTATTCCAATGACCAGTACATCAAGAAAACTGGCAGTTCATTCTGCAAAAGTTTGTCTGATGGCCAAAAACATAACTCCTCCAGCATAGGTGGGCTGAGAGACTACACCATCTCTCTCTCTCTCTCTCTCTCTCACACACACACACACACACACACACACACACACAACAACCCCTGACATCTCTCCTCCTCTCCCACACCAGCCTTTCAAAGGCCCTCCCTGCATCTCCTTCTCAGAGCCCTCTGACAAGAGTTGCAGGGGATGGAGCTGTGGCCACACCCCAGAGTTATAACGTCTCTCCAGCTGGGTGGGAGTGCCTGCTGACAGTCAGTTCTGTTGTCTGGCAAAAATGTTGCATTTTGGGCTCCAGGAGTTGGTGCATGGGCAAAGGAGGGTGCTCTGCTACTGCAGACGGGCAACAATTCATTTAAGACTTAACTGTAAATTAAATGCAAGAATTACTTTGGGTTTGCTTATAAAGCCCGTGACCCACTTGCACATGCTTCACAACCAACAGGCTGAGAAACGCTGCTCTACAGCAGAGGTCTATTACCTGTAAGAATCTTTTTTCATTTTGTGATTTCAAGCAAAGGGAGATCTTCTTCCACTCCACATTTGAACAACATCTATATTATGCAGCAGCAGCTGGCTAATTGGCTTTTGAGTACAATAGTCCCTTACCAAGCTATTTTAATCTTGTTGATCACATACATGAATCTTTGCAAGGGGCACAATTTGTAACTTACAGGTATTCTCACAAACACACACAGTTCGCAATATACTAGGTTTATTACACAAATAGGAAATGCCCTAGCGAACAAATGTGTTACCCCATGTCTTTCTAAGCAAGGTAGAGATGTACAAGTCTCTGTATTAAAACCACACTGAACAATTCAAGTAGTATTCATTGGTTTCTACTTTAAGTTACACTTTAGAATTTGAGATTCATCTCAGCCTTGTATTTAAAGTACAAGCTTAATAGGCACAGGCAACAAGAAACTGCATGCAGGTGAGTGTGTGGGCTGCAAGAGAGATGGAGTGCTCTGTCCCTCTTCTGTGCCCAATATAGAAATCAGGTGGGTTGTTAGAGGACAGAAGTTCCTCCCCTTCATATGAAGCACCCCTGAAAACATTCAGCTTTTGCTATGACAGCCTGTACCTCAGAAAGAAGTTTCAGTTCTGGCCTGGAGAGGCCTCAAGGGAGAACTCATTACAGAATGCCATGCTCACATGTTCCAAACAAGCTGAGCTGCAAGAGCATCTGCTAAACTCATTGTCTCTTTTCAATGTAAATCTCTGCCATTCCCCTCTTATCATTTATAACATTAATAGTAAATAAAAGACTCCTTCTGGAAGTGTTAAACCAATATATGGTCACTTCTTCCTTTCCCTGCTCCTTACAGTTACTTATCAATAAGTAAATAGAGCTTATTTTTTATTTATTTCGGTGGTCTGTGTTAATTCTTGGGGTAACAAACTCTGGAATGCATCCAGGTCTCAATGTCAGAAGATCCCTAGAATGGAGTGTCAGATTGCATGTGAGAATTGTAGGCTTGCATGCCAACTACACTACATAAAAACCCTAATCTAGCACAGAGATGCAGTGGGCTGCAGGAGTAGGGACAGAGCTCTTCATCCTACCTATATTAGTGGCCTGACAACAGGCTAGTTAACTTCTGTGGGCTTATCTGAAAGACTGGCTTATCTATACCATCATTTACACAGCTCTTTAATTGTGCAGCATTATACCTGTGTTGTTTCTAAGCCCCGAGAAGTAAATTTCACTGAAATCAATGGAACACGAATACAACTAGAACCACGCTACAAGCCTAGCCCAACACAACACAATTAGAACCAAGCTACAAGCCTAACAATTGCCCTACAAGGTGTTGTTTAGTCGTGTCCGACTCTTCGTGACCCCATGGACCAGAGCATGCCAGGCACTCCTGTCTTCCACTGCCTCCCGCAGTTTGGTCAGACAAGGTAGGTAACCAAAAATTGAGACTGACTCCTCAAAAGCCACCTGATTCCAACTAGGCTGCTATTCAAACTCAGGACCCAGCACAGTAGGGTTGCCATATTTTCAAAAGTTAAAACCAGGACACCTTGGATGTGAGCTTTTAAAAAATAATATCACAAAACTGCCCCCAAAATGTGATTTTTCAATTGACTTGCCTATGATCCAGGACAAAGTGCCATCTTTCAGAAATTCCCCAATGTCAATACCACCTTTGAAATCCTGGTAATGTCAGGGAAAATCCAGGTGTATGGCAGCCCTACAACACAGCAAATTCCCTGCATGATGCTTAACTACTTATCAGAACTGTAGGCTTGCAATGCAGCTTTCTGGAAAAATATAAACATATATTCAGATACAACTGAATCTGAAGTCTTGCGGCCATAACTTAAATAAATTGCAAACAAAAGCAGACAAATGGTTAATCACTACAAACTGTAATCAAACAAGGCTCTCTGCACACTTAGGGAAAAACCTTACTTTTTGTTTAACTTCACTCAGCCTAAGTTTCCTGTCTCCCCTTCCCCTCCCCAAGCACTGGGGCCCATTCCATCCTACACTCAAGCTATAAAGTTCTTAAGCTTTTGTTCCCTCAGCGCTGCTCCTTCAAGAGAAAGGTTACTGCTGCTCTTCTGTTCAGCAGACTGTTCTTTAAACAAAACCCCAAAACCAACAACAACCCAAATGGTTGCTGGTCAGATGCAAACCTTGCGCAGGCAAAACCAGCGACTACTGCAAGCTGTTCACACCCTTTGGGAACCGCTTCCTCTCATTCGCGTCCCTATTTTTCACACGCAGCTTGCAGCCGCCTCATCATTCCAGTGCTTCGTTGTTTCGGGGTGGGTACCAAACAGGGGTACTATTTCCAAAAGTTAAAAACCAGGACATCCTGACAAGTTGTTGAGCTTTTAGGAAGACCCCAACATTGGTTGGTTCTGCTTTTTAAGGAAACAACAGAAATTGTAGAGCCTTTTTTTAAGGAACCCCCCAAAATTGTGATTTTTTTTAAAAAAGGAAATTGCAGTGTTTGGTTTTTTTTAAGGAAACCGGCCGTCAATTCCGCCTTTTTGAACTCCCGGGAAAATCCGGACTTTTGGCAGCCTAGTGCCACGCTCCAGTCTGTCTGGAACAACCCCCCTTCCGGCCTGGAAGCCAAATCCCCAATATGTGTGTTTGTGGGACGGGGGCTGGGGGTCTTCCCCCCACTACTCGTTCACTGCCATAGGGAAATGCACTCTGAACATGCTCAGAGGGCACTCTCGCGGTCTTTCCACAGGTCGCCCTGCTTTGCGGGAAAGAGGCCCTCACCCGTTCCGCGCAGGCCCTCCGCCCCCCCCCCCACAAACCAGCTCCGCTCCGCCGCCCCCCTCGACTGGCCTGCCTCGATAGCCCACCCCCTCCTTTCCGCCGAAACGCCCCATTCGCTCGCCTCAGCCCTGCCTCCCCTTTCCCTCCTCGACCCCAATTAAGCGGCAGCGCCGGGAGCCCCGTCCTACCCGACGACGACCCCAGCCGCTGTCTCCACAACCGCCGCCCCCCCCCCGCCCCCTTTACCGTCAGGCCGCCGCGCCGCCGCCAAACACCGGGAAAGCGAGCCCCGCCCACCAGCGAAGAGACAGAGAACGGGAGCGAGCAAGCGAACGGTGCCGCGAGCCCCAAGCAGCCAATTGGGGCCGCGGGAGCCTTCCTCCCTTCAGCCAATGCTTAAGCGCGGACGCTGGCCAATGGGAGCGAGGCAAAGGCGGGGCCCTCCCGTCTCTCTCTCTCTCTCTCTCTCTCTCTCCCACTCCGCCGCCTCTCCACGCTCCGCGCGACGGGAAGTTCGGAGAACACGGAGCCGCTGAAGCTCCGCCTCCCCTCCGCCCGCCCAATCGGGCTTCTTCGTTAAGGGGCGGCCAATCAGTGAAAGGGGGTAAGGCTGCTCTTCGCCCGAACCGAGACGGCTCTTGGGCCAATCGGGGAAGCCGCGGGGCTCAAAAAGCCAATCCGGTGCGCGTGGAACGTGGCGGAGATGCCGCGGTTGCCCAATACCGCAAACGCTAGGAAACAAGCCTGTCTTCTCTTTTAACCCTTTCTTTTCCTCCCTCCCGCCTGCGCGAATGGAGACGCGGGTTTGCCGTCTCGCGGCAGGGATCCCTGTTAAATAGCTGCGTGACAGATAGAATCCAACAGCGTGACGCTTCCATCACCGATTCTGCGTTTCTATGCTAAAAAGTTCGGAATTTCTGCCGTGTCGGGCTTAAACATTTTTGATGGAAGTATAATGGAATTTTGATGGAAGTAATAATGGAATACTGAATGGTTTGGTTTATATAAAATATGATGGGATTTATGTTATGCAAAATGAACCATGGAAAGAGAAGAAAGGGAAGTCATTGTGTTTTAAAGGTTGTTTAAATGAATACTCTTAGATTCTAAAACAGAAAATTTAATAAAAATGTAATAAATAAATAAATAAACGTACACACGCCACCTTGGGAGCTCTCCTATAGGAGAAAAGTGGCAATTCAGCCCGGACACTGAGATCCACTTCCAAGGACCTTCTGGCGGTTCCCTCACTGCAAGAAGCGAGGTTACAGGGAACCAGGCCTTCTCGGTAGTGGCACCCTCCCTGTAGATGTCAGGGAGAGAAAGAATGACACAACTTTTAGGAAACATCTGAAGGGAAGTTTTTAACGTCTGACATTTTTTTATTTTATATATTTTGCTGGAAGCTGCCCAGAACGGCGGGGAAAACCCAGCCAGATGGGCGGGGTATAAACAATAGAATTATTATTATTATTATTATTATTATTATTATTATTATTATTATTATTTTCTGTTCAGCAACCAAAACTCTTAGCAATTTATCAGCAACTAAAGGGCAACATGCTCCACTTGCTGCTAGAGTCACCCTCTTTGAAAAGTCCTGTTCAGCGCCTCTCCCCGCAAAACCTACAAACTGATAGGATAGGTTATGTATTGGTTCTTTAGTTATCTCGTTATGACCCTCTGCGCATGATACTCAGAGTCATTCTTGAGCAGATCTCTTCAGATTCCCAAAGCGAAGCTGGGGCATTGCAAACAAGTTCCATGACTGAGCTTTGGTGAGCCATTATTCGAATTCAGAATAAGAATTTGAAATTCTCCTCCTTCGGACCCCAATGTTACCAGCATGGCCCATTGTGGATTTGAGCACAAAGTCTATTTTCATTCGTGTCCGCAGCCTGTTATCGCGCTGTTGCTTCTTCTGAAATATAGACAAACCCCACACATATTTTCTTTGTGCAAAACCATAGGATCATTTTTCTTTTCCCAGGGAATTTTCTTTTTTAAGAAAAAAAACAGGAGCCCCATTCATTCCTACTTTTCAGCAGCTCAATGACGGCACCTGCTGGGTTCAGCTAGGTTTGCAGACTTTTCAAACCAACAAACCTCTATCTGCATCTCCCAGGAAAGGCAGTTGTGCATGAGGAACAACACCGCAATTCACAATCTAGGGTCCCACATAGACCACTTGAAAATTGTTAAAGGTCTTGGCTCACCTCATCCTGATTTTTCCTTCTGTTGTAGATATTGTAACTTGCATGACTTTTTAATAAAATGCAGACTGACTATAAATCTTTTGGAAATGTTGTACCATATTTTTCTGTGTATAAGACTATGTTTTTCCCCTAAAAAATCATGTCAAAAATTAGGGCACGTCTTATACGCGGATAGTGTCTGACCCCATTTTCTTAAATCTGAGTCCCCCAAAATAGGGGGTGTCTTATACGTGGGGGCTTCTTATAGACGGAAAAATATGGTAACATCCAAAACTTCCAGATGTCTTTTTCATTATTATTTTTTAAGTGTCAATTTTAACATGAAAAAGGACAGAGAAAGGTTAATAATGACAGTAAACAATGTCAGGTTGCACTGAGAATATAATGGCCACCGATATTTCCAATCTATAATAAAACATACAAGTCAATCCAAGTCATTCCAAGTGTCCAAATATGACATATAAAAATGTTGCCATGGTGGTGAGGTATAACATATCCTTCGAGGTTTTATGGCAACCATAAGCTTACATAAGATGTACTTTTGACCTCTTGTTAAACTGCTATACTTATAGGAATATATTTTTAAAGTACATGGGCACTGCAAATATCAAACTTATTTTGGCTAAGACCCTACCTGCCCGCAGACTGCCTCGCCAAAGTGGTGCATGCTCTAGTTATCTCCCGCTTGGACTACTGCAACGCCACTCTACGTGGGGCTACCTTTGAAGGTGACCCGGAAACTGAAATTAATCCAGAATGCGGCAGCTAGACTGGTGACTGGGAGTGGCCGCCGGGACCACATAACACTGGTTCTGAGAGATCTTCATTGGCTCCCAGTACGTTTCCGAGCACAATTCAAAGTGTTGGTGCTGACCTTTAAAGCCCTAAACGGCCTTGGTCCTGTATACCTGAAGGAGCGTCTCCACCCCCATCGTTCAGCCCGGACACTGAGATCCAGCACCGAGGGCCTTCTGGCCATTCCCTCATTGCGAGAAGTGAGCTTACAGGGAACCAGCAGAGGGCCTTCTCGGTAGTGGCGCCCACCCTGTGGAACACCCTCCCTTCAGATGTGAAGGAAATAAGCAGCTATCCTATCTTTAAAAGACATCTGAAGGCAGCCCTGTTCAGGGAGGTTTTTAATATTTAACGCTGTATTGTTTTTAACACTTGATTGGGAGCTGCCCAGAGTGGCTGGGGAAACTCAGCCAGATGGGCGAGGTATAAATAATAAATTATTATTATTATTATTATTATTATTATTATTATTATTAGCAATACAAAATTTATACTGACAGCTATGTCAGACCAAAACAAATACATCATGGATGTGCTCATCATCATATTCCACAACAAGGTGTTTTCAACATTTCGCCTCCAGCATCTATATGTCTTAAACAGGGCCTTCCTGTGCTGAAGGTTGCAGAGTCCAATATACCCCAAACATAATTTTTTCCTGGATCAACCTCAAATCTAGAGAAATGTTCCATATAGATTCTAGAGCAATTTCCCATTATTTAGATTATATAGCATGACCCCTATTCCACAACTCTCTACGTTCCTGCCAATCTAATTTACAAAGGTCCAAGAAGCATTTATAAGCAGCAGTTATAGATTCTGGGGAGATCCAATAATTCCCTCCAACAATTTAGAAGTTGCTCAATGTAGATGGTCCATAAATACACACCAACAAGTATTGTAATTGAAGATATTGCCCATTCAGCACTCACTGGTAAATTATATTAAAAATGCAATGTGTGTGGGGGGGGGGGGATCCATCTGAACCTATCAGTTGATCCCACCAGCAAACTCACAAAATTCTAAGAAACCCAATAAATGTACTCTTCAACTACTTGGAAAACTATTGAGAATGTAGATGCAGAAATGGGTACTATTGGTATTTTGGTAGCATCAAAAATGCCAATTTCAATGTATTGTGGGGAAAAGATGCCTCGCCATCTCCCCTGGTCAGACTAGTTCTTTAGTATTTGGGATAAAGCAGTAAATAATAAGCTAACTTATTATGTACAAGCAAGAGAAAAAACGTATACGGAAAAAAATGTCCGATTTTATTTCCTTCTGGAACGAAAAATTTGGTGATAATGTGAGACAGTGCTCAGTACATATTTCTTTAGTTTAGGTCCGATGCGGTCGACAGGGACAGCTATCGAACAGCATCGAGATGACTAGGGGGTGAGACAGGGTTGTATTTGGCCCCCACATTGTTTGGCTATTCTTAAATGACCTAGAAGAGAACTTAATGGACCCAGATGGACACATTCCAAAAATAGGAATAAGGACCCCTTTGTTGTTGTATGCTGATGATGCAACCATCATCTCGCGTTCCAGGTGCCCAAAAGGTTTTAAAGCAAAGATTATGGGACAATGCACACAGTGACTTGCAATCTCGGTCACACGCAGTCTGTAGTCCGCTGGCAGCAGGAATTCAATATGGGTATGTCTTTGAGTTAACATCTTACATCAAAAACCTGACAGTACCTAACTATCGAAGGCTTTTCACCAAAGCCAGACTGAATGTCTTCCCCTCTGCAGTGCTGGATGGTAGGTTGAGAGGAGTTCCCTACCAGGACAGACTTTGCTCGTGTGCTCAAGACATCGATTCCATAGATCATATTTTGTTACATTGTGTGAAGTATGAGCAGGCCAGGGCTGAACTGATACTACCCTTGCTGGTACCTTTCCCAGGAAAGTCAGAGGCTCACTATGTCAGGTTCCTACTGGAAGACCGGACAAAAGCTAGAACGTTGGCAGTGGCAAAGTTTTTATCGGTGGTTGCAAGAACAAATGAGCCCTATATTCCAAACAAAGTGCTTTATTAACCTGGAGGTAGGCTGTATGAACTCTGTATTGATTTGTAATATTTTGTTGGGTCTCTGGACCGTAATAAAGATAGTTGTAGTTGTAGTTTAGATTTTGAGTCTCTGGTTTGGGATTAATGATTATATGCCATTCTTCTTTTCTAGGGTTGCCATATGTCTGGAATTTCCTTGAAGAACCATGGCTTCAAGGCGTAATGCTTTTATTCCCCCCAGCAACATAAACGTCAGTGTTTTATGGATGCAGTCAGAGTCCGTCATGTCGGCTTTGGCTTCCTCATCTGTGTGAGGAGCTCATAGGCAGCTTGTACCTCAATGAAACGTCTCTCCGCCTCTTCCGCCCGGTGCCG